GCTGCCCTCCCGAGACAGGCGAGCCACGGCCCCGCGGGACGCTCCTGCGTTTGCACCAGGGCTCCGCGGGGATCCGCGCTTGGCAGAACGAGGACAGCTCGGCCTTGTGGGGGCGGAGGAGGGGCCCTGGCACAGGGGCGGGGTTCTTTCTTTTTTTAATAAAAGTTATTTTCCCACAGGCTAAGTCTACACTGGCACCCTTTTCCAGAAATGCTTAAAACGGAACAGTTTTCCGTTATAAGTATTTCCGGAAAAAGCACGTCTACATTGGCAGGATGCTTTTCCGGAAAAAAGCCCCGATCGCGAAAATGACGATCGGGGCTTTTTTCCGGAAAAGCACGTCTACATTGGCAGGATGCTTTTCCGGAAAAAAGCCCCGATCGCGAAAATGACGATCGGGGCTTTTTTCCGGAAAAGCACGTCTACATTGGCAGGATGCTTTTCCGGAAAAAAGCCCCGATCGCGAAAATGACGATCGGGGCTTTTTTCCGGAAAAGCACGTCTACATTGGCAGGATGCTTTTCCGGAAAAAAGCCCCGATCGCGAAAATGACGATCGGGGCTTTTTTCCGGAAAAGCAAGCGGCCAGTGTAGACAGCTGGCAAGTTATTCCAGAAAAGCGGCTGGTTTTTCAGAATAAGGGGCCCAGTGTAGACACAGCCACAGTGTCCGCTATCGCAAAAAATGAGGGGGGGTTGGTCTGTGTTATTGTGGGGAAGAGGGGGGTGATTTGGGGTTTTTTCCCCCTCCCCGATTCGCTGAGGAGACTGTTCCTTTAACTCACTAACCGTCCATGACATTTAATTTAGGGTTGGAATTAGTTTCTTTAAAAAAAAAAAAAAAGTCTAAACTGCTGTCTGCCTAACTCCTTGCTTTTGAGGCTTACTGGTTGAAATCTACAAACTACCTACACAGTTTTCTCAGTTTTGCAAAAACAGCTTTTAATTACACAATTAGTTTACCAGCTATAAATCTGATGAAGTGGGTTTTACTTACAAAGGTCATGACCTAATAAATCTGTTAGTATTTCTACACTGCAGCATTATTTCAGAGTAACTGACATTATTCCAAAATAACATAGTGCATGTCTACACTACAATCCTTTATTCTGAAATAATGTTGAGCTGGAGGACAAGGAGTAAGGAAAGTCAAAGGAAGGGTGTTTTTCCTTTGATTTCTGCTGCACAGACAG